GGGGGGGGGGGGGGGTGATTGTCGAGGGCTTCTTCCCTCTTTTTTTCCCCTTTTTTTAATACCGGGATACAACACAACAAAACAAAACAAAAGATCTTTTCCTTCCTCCTCCCCTCCAGAAAGTGCCGGCGCCGCAGCTTCTCGCACGTGCGGGGTGTGAAACTCTGCCCAAGGGGACCCGGGCTGCCCGAGGTGGAGACAAGACCGGATTCACGGGGGGAAATGGCTTTGCAAACTGCCTTGCACACGAGCCCGGAGTGCAACAGCTGTCTTGCCTGGTCTCTCCATACAGGTTTCACATAGGAAAAGAAATCATTTTGTTTGTCGAAATCTGTGTCAGGCTCATATTCCTGCTGCTGCCGCTGCTCAGAGTGGAAAATAAGCAGACCACAAACGTCGGGAATAAACTGATGGTGATAAGTAAAGGGTGTGAATGGCTGTGATCACGGCGGTGATCACGATGACGGCGCTAATAATGAGGACGACCTTGTGATGTGCCAGTGCCCCGCTCCCAGGGCACGGTGACAACGACCCGGCGTGACCAAGCCGAGGTGCGCTTCTTTGAGCCGCGCAGATCTGCCCTCAAACCTTCCCTGCAAACTTTGGCACCCGCGGGGAGACCCGAGCCCCCGGCCCGGGACCCCAAAAGGGGCTGCGAGCGGCCTCTGGGTGTCTCCGAAAGCATGGACTTCGTGCAGAAATACTATCCCTCCTCTGTCCTCCCCTCCTGCCCGTAGCATCGCCTGCGAGCCCGACCCCCACCCAGCAGCAAGCCCGTCTGCAACGTCGGGGCTGCGCCTGCTGGACGGCCGAGGACCGGAGGACTGGGCAAGCTCCTGGGGTCGGTGCTAAAAGCAGCACGACTTTATATTTTTTAATAAAGAAAGCGCTCTTGCAACTTGGCCGCCTTCCACTCACCCCCCTAGATGAGCTGGCTCTCTAAACACGGACTAGAAGATTAACGCTGCTGTTATAACCTCATAGAGGGATCTGTGCCTTGTGAAAGCTTGTTACGGCTGCTGATCCATAACAGCCTTTTTGTTTTCGGGGTGACAACAGAGCTGCCCTGCCCAGTTTCAGTGCCACTTGCAACTCAGATCCGTCCTGAGCCCAAAGGCTTCCTGCAATGTAAGTGCCAGGCGGGTGGTGGGGTGGAAGCGGAGCCTTCGCCCCCAACATCCCCCCCATGAGTCCAGCCAGCTCGAGGGATCAGGTCTGGGCTGATGAGAGGCAAAAGAGATAAATAAATGCATAGAAAGGAGGATGCCCAGGGCAAGGTAGATCCTGTAGACATGGAGGGTAAACCTCCCTTCCTCCAGCCCAGCCAGACCTCCCACAGCCTGGATCCATTCTTCACTGTCACCTTCCTCGCACCACAGCGAACCTGAAACCCCAGAAAGACGTATTTATTTAGCCCAAAATAAATGGGAATAAAAACAACCGAAAAAGAAACTGCTTTCTTTCTTTCTTTCTTTCTCTCCCTCTCTCTTGAACAAGCAGCAAGTTTCCCAAGTTAAGGATTGGTTTCCCCCCCTCGCCCCAGATCATTTTATTTTGATCCCCATTTCCCTCCTTCATGTAGGATAGACTCATTGCTGAGCTGGTCCCATAACCCTTTCCCAGCAATGCCCCAAATGCTGACGTAAAAACAAGCTCCGTTTTGTTCTGTTGAAGAAGCCGGCGGAGCTTCGCATCGCGGGTCGGAGCAGAACTGGGGTGGGGGACCCGGAAAACCAGCAGACAAAACAAATTGTAGCCCAAGCGGGGTTTACCTTTATGAGACGCTACAAATTGCAGCTCTGGACACTTTGGAGACCTTTGAAATCCCTTCATTAGCTAGTTGATGCATTTGACATCCGAGCTCATTGTACCCCGGAGGCATCCAAAAGTTTGAAAACCGAGTTTTATTAACCTAATAAAATGCACACGCACCAAAATCGAGGGGAAAATTCAAGAATCAGGAGCAGAGTTAAAGAAAGGCAAGACAGTTCAGCCACTGCCTGGTGCTTTTTAAATACTGGATAAAAGGGACTGTTCTCGATGTGTCTGGATAGGGGAGCACCCCTCCCCAAATCCTTCTAATTATTTGCATGTAATAAAATGACTTTAAAAGAATTGCTCTTTCAGTCACTGCTGCAAGGGAGAAGCACACTCCATCCCCGGCTGTTTTGTTCTTTCCTTCTTCCTCTACTCCTCTTTCGTGCCATAACTCACTCATCTTTATGGACAAAAGGGAAATATAGTGAGACTGTACAGCAGGAATGAATCCTCCAGTTCCTCTGGCAGAGGGGTGGCTGCATAACATTTACCCAGCCAAAAGTGAATGTTGTTTAACGGCTTACATGGTAGGAAAGGGTAAATCTTGAAGTGTAGCAATTATAACCTGGCATGTTTGGATTCATTTAGGTCATAAATGCATGTGTCATTCAGGCTGGGTACTTCATTAAAGGACTAGATTCAACGCACCCTTCAGTTTTAGTGGGGGAGTTGGCTCAATTAGTTTATAGCTTGTGATTACTATAATTTGGCCATAAAATAAGAATTTCCTTTTAAATACTTGTTGCTGTCAGTGCCCAGGTGGGAGGTTAAAAAGGGGGGAGGGGGGAATCCCCTTTCCTTCAGTATGTGCAGATTAAAGACAAAACGAATACAATGTCTAGCTGAAATGCAAAGGCAAAACCCCACACCTGTATTTACTACAAGGGGATGAATGACAAGAAGGTTTTACTTAACTTAAATATTTCGTTGGGATTTATTTGGAAGTTAAAACACGATCTGTCCATCAACAGCTCAATTGCTGTTAGGTAAGTGATTTGCAACAAGTCACCATTTACTGAGCAAATTATACCAGACAAGGAAGATACCATCAAGGGGCATTGTTCCCTAATTTCACAGAAGAATAGGTGGCTGTGCTTTATTGGTGCTGTTCAATAGCCCACTCCTCCTTAGTGCATTGCTGTTTATCCTGGCCCCTTTTCTTGCCACGAATTTTGCTTTCTGTTGCTTGTGCTGCTATGTACACATTCTCCTTTTACTGGAAATTGAGATTTCTCCTTTTTATGCTTTCAAACAAGAGAGGAAAAGTTGAACGCGGTGGGACCAATGATTCTTTTTTGGTGATCAGATGCACTTTCTATGCTTTCTTTAGGAGGAGAATATGCTTTTCATTTGCCCTCTCATCTTTCTTCTAGTATTTCGCCATCACCCCTCCAAAGCAGTATTAGTCCTGTGTGAATAATTTCAAGCCCAGAGGTAATTTACTGAAGGATACGGTTTTTTCCCTAGGTTTTAACTTATGTTTTTGCTTCTGCAATACAAAAGAAATTGTTTAAGCATGATTTCTTTTTTCAGATCAGTTGTCTCCCTGCGATTAGTCGCATTATCAGACCAAATACATGGAGGTCCATCTGTGTCTCCTTCTTGTCAACCTACATTATACTTTTAATTCCTAGCCCACACTTTGAGACCATGAAAATGCTTCAGACTGCCATTAGTTTAAACCGATGTGGAAATGCCCCTTCTATTATCAGCTTATTGCTAACCACTGAAGTACTTGCTTATAATAAGAAAGCCTGTCTTACAACAAAGCCAACACATTGGTGTGTTCTCAGGCATGGCTTGCCCTCCCTATTTAGAGATAATTGTGATTGTGTTGAGCATAATAGGGACACAACTGCAGTAAACTCAGCGGCCATTAGCAATTGTTAAACAAGTATGTGGACTGTAAAGTTAAGTGTTATATCCTTTAGATAAGGGCTTATCTATAGGGGCATTAAACCCACACTTACCTCTTCAGCTATAACAAGACAAGAGATACTGGGCTGCAATTCTCTGCCCCCAGATGTTACAACTGGATTCAGTCAGCCGGACTTAATTCGGATGGAGAAACCGATTTCT